AAACTCCCACCTTGTCTGGGTTGGGGCTCTCTGCTCACACTGCTGTCTTGGACAGACAGAGAGTCCAAGCTCGGAGCTTGAAATAAAGGCTCTTTGCTTTTACATATGGTATCTGGTCTCCATGGTGGTCTTTTGGGGGTCCCTGATATCTGGGCATAACAGAAGAAATGACAGTGATCATTATAGATTTCTATATGAAGATAAAAATTTAAGGTTATATTTGCTACAACATACTGTATATGTATTCAAGTATGGTTTAGAATATACTATGTATGGTGGAAAACTTTTAAGATTACCACGGTCTATTCAGATTAACAAAAGCTAATTTAAGATATATGTCTAACCATGAATGTTTTTATTGTTTAACACCAAGCTGCTAGAAAAATTTAGATAAGTAACATGTTTGATAATAAGGTATATTTGATTATCAAGATATATAAATTCCTAAGATCTACTCAGGTTCACAGTAATATTTGTCTAGCTTCCTCTTTGCTCACTTTAAGCTTTAGTGATTTGGATAAGTTAAGTCTTACTAAAAAAATTCAATATTATATAATGGTGTGTCTGGTCCCCCAAGAAAGTCCCTTTCCCAAGGTCAGGCATTTAGACAAAAGCCAGGATTCCCTGAGGGGCTTGAAGAAACTTCCTGCTCGCTAAAAATGGAGTCATTCTTATCTCTGACAAAAGGAACTTGTGGCCAATCTATTAACAGATGACAGTGGTGCCTATTAACTTGTCAAGGTCAATGCTAGATCCCTCAATCCCTGCTCACATGTCTCACCCCAGTACACAAGTCTGATTTCTCTCATTCCCATTTAACCCTGGAAATGTTTCTCCTGTTAGTTTTCCTTGCTTTCCTGGGAGACAGCCTTGACAATAAACTTTTGACCTTTTATCCCTCAGAATGTGTATTTTGGTTTCTTCCCTGTGCCCATTTTCATTCATGGTGCACTATAAAGGGATCAGTAAAGTTGCCAGTCTCTCTGTGGACTATACCTATGTTTAGAAGTTTTATTTTGATACTAGACGAGCATCAAATCAAAATCATTTTTAAAGCTAAACGTAAAAGAGATGAAACATATATTCCTAGTCTTAGGGAAATTACTAACTTATTGTAACCTGTTAAGGATGACTAAGAAATGCCAGTTTATGGTCAGTCACCTTAAATACAATTGGAACATAAAGTCCTAGTCTTATAAAAGCTCCTAACTTATTGTAAACTTTTAGAGATAATTAAGAAATATAAGTTAATGGTTAGTCACCTTTTAAATGATGAAACTCTTTAATATGCTCGGAACTATACTTATAGTCATGCTAAGTACTAATGCATTTAATTCCAAGAATAAGCCTTATTTAGCCCCTTGTATATATTTTCAAAGTTAATCCTAAAAAAGTAACTAGAAGCAAGTGAAATTTGTCTATTCAGACATACCTAATAGGCAGGTGGTCCTCAAATGCTTCAGAGATCTGCAGAATATGGCATTTAAAATGTTTAAGTACCCCATAATAAATAGATCTGCCCCAACATAGAGGGAATGATTAAGGTATCCAAAGAAGATAGATGGTACAGGGCAACTTGGCCTGGATTGTGGTATCACTTACTGTTAATACTCTGATCCACCCCTTGAAATCCCACCCTGTGTCCTGACATAAAAGCCTCATTCTAAGGAAAAACTCCTCCCCTTCCTCTCTCTCTCCCACTTTTCCTCCCACAAAATACACTCCTTCTCTCTCTCTCTCTCTCTCTCTCTCTCTCTCTCTCTCTCTCTCTCTCTCTCTCTCTCTTATCTTTCTCGTCATCTCTCTATTATAATAAACTCTCCACATGTATGCAGCATCTGTGTGAATTACTGGCCACTGCCACAGGCACCATGCCTGCATGGCATGCATCTGCCCAGCCCGCCACTGCATCTGCCTAGCATGTTTCCCTGCATGTGTGGGATACCCTCAGTTGTCACAAAGGCTATGGGCCGTGGAATTGAGAGGGCACAGGCCTTCTCCATATGCTGTCATATAGGGATGGGAACCTAAGGACTCTGAGCCTGAAAGACACGTGGTACCAGCAAGCAAAATGAGAAAAATCCTCACTTGTGGGAAAATGGCGAGAAGGGAAGGAGGGAACCTTGCTGATCCTGTAGGATGAAGAGTCCCCAGTGGTGCTCCAGCCTGAAAAAAATGGTGGGTGGTAGATGATCCCAGAGCTCCTCAGACTGCAGGTGGGCAGGAGAAAGCAGTGAGATTGCCTGGTGATGTTGGGTGATAAAGTTAAGAATTACTGCGCAGGGAGGGGAACCATCTTGAATAAAGTCAAAAGAGGCAGGTCATATGACCTCACCACCATCTTTACTAAGGGCAGCATGGAAGGGACACCCGGCACTCAGGCCATCGGTATAGAGAGAGGTTAGGGAATCACCTTCCACTGTGCATTGTTTCGCCATTGTTTTACAGGCCACCAGTTTCTCCCAGAATCTCTCAGTTCCTACCTGTTACAAGGTATGTCTAGCATATCCCACCCCCTACCCTGAACTCTTCTGCCCAAGGGCTGGGCTGTCCTTCCCCCAGAGACTCATCCATATATAATTTAGACATTTTTGTCTCCTGCCCCTTTTGTATCTTTGGCCTTCTGACTGCTTCACCTGGTTCCCATTTCCTCCCTTCCCCTCCCACTTCCCCACATGACCCAGCTCAGTCTGGTCCTGTCCACTCTGGACTCTCCCAGATATCCCTGCCTCTGACTATGATCTCCCACACATCTACAGTAAACTTTCTCCTCCACCATACTTAGGAGCCATCATGTCCTTTGCATTTCATTTTTTTATTCAAGCACACCCAATAATACAGTTTAAAATTATGAAATTTGCTCTGTTAGTTCATTTACTATGAAAATTAAGCATTCATTTAAGCATTAACTAAAGGATCAGGAGAAGAGATCTGAGTTTGAGTCAGATCCTAAGAAAGGACAAGTCCCAAAGGTCTATGCCTGGCCTGGAATCCTAAAGGCTCTGGAGTCCATTCTGCCTTTGCAGCCAAGATGTGTCCAGCAGAAAATTCTCTCCCTCTTTTTCTCACTCCCCTTTATAAAAACTATTTAACAGGCACTTTATTGCCAGAGTCCAGCTCTATCGAGGTTCAGATCCAAAAGTGGAGGTGTGGAGTTGGTGAGGGCAGGAGGCTGACAGGACCTGAGGGGGGATCTGAATAGCTGCTGCTTTATTAAAGAAAATTTTTTATTTTTCTTTAATATTTTTTAAATATTTTCTTTATTTCATACTCTACAATTGAACAAAGGAGTAACTGGGAATGGGAAGAAGGGGGCTTGTGTGCTGGGTTGGGGCTTGTGAGCAGGGATTGAGGGAGCTAGCAAGACCATGACAAGTTATTAGACATCACAGTCATATGTTAATGGAAGGGCCACTAGTTCCTCTTGCCAGAGAGAAGGAAACATCTCCCCTTAAATGCTTAGTGGACTAGTGAGAGAAGACTCTGGGATAATTATTCTGGGGAATATTGGTGAGGTCTGCTCCACAGATAGCAAAAAGTTCACCAAGTTATTAACAAAATCCACTCTTAGTCTTCTGGATACAATTCAATTCTTTGGTTTATATCTCCTCCATTGAGTGGACACATCTGGGTGATTAACATCCTGGTTCTGTTAGTGCTTCTTTGTGAGTACAAGGACCTCTGTGCCCCCAACATCCCATACATTCCATAATCAGCATTAGCACGTGACTCCACATGCTATTTTCCAAGTTCAGGTACAAAAGAGTAGCCCTGGGAAACTAGGTTACTGAGCCAGAAATCCTATAGTGAGCCAGACTGAACATGCTAGTCAAGTGTTCGTGTGGCTTTAAAGAATCCTCAGCGGAAGGCCTGCAGGCAGGACACAGGATGAAATTCCTCCACAGAGCAGTGGAGCACAGCAGTAACGCAGCTGAACAGGAATTCTTCATGCCATTGCCACTGCTGCTGGCTGCTGCTTCAGCACCGTCACAGATTCCAGGCAGGGTGTCAAAAAGTGGACAGTGGACTTGGGGACAAAGGCCAGGGTGCCATTGTCCCATGTGGACTCCAGGACAAAGACTGACACTAATGATCCAAAAATTCTGGGGTGGCAGAGCCTGCACATGTTTGCCATTTGCTCTTTGAGAGAGGGTCTCCTTTATAACCATGCTTGCCTAAATCTCTCAGTGGTCTCCCTGCAACAGTGTCCTCAGTGCAGAGTACAGTTGCGTGCCACACCTAGCTTCTCTTTATTTCATTAGTAAATATGCAGAATTCATAGAAGTCAAGCATGGTGGTGCAGCAGAGGCAAACTGATCTTTATGATTTTTATGATGAAACAATAGGAGAATGATGAAAAATAAGTATTCTTAATTTGCTTTACTTATTTTCACTAATGATGCAGAATTAAGTGAAAACAAATCTGTAGACTCCTATGTCAAGTGGGCGATAAAGTATGTATAATTTCGTCATCAGAGTATTGAGGTTCTATAGTAAATATGGAGTGGTAAGTAAAAAGCTCACTCTGATCCCATAGTGTTTACTTCTCTAAATCCTGTATGTACATTGATGGGCTTTTTTCTACAGAATAACGGTTTAAGAGAATGCATATTAGTGAATAGTTTTTTTTTTTTTTAATTAAACTTTCTTCTTACAAAAATGAAAATCATAGCACGTTTTCCACAGCTCGCCTGAGGTTTTGCTAGCCCAGAAAAGGGCAGATTTCCTTTGTCCTTTCTTAGTTTCTTAGCAAACCTGACTAATTCCCCAGAAAAGAGTCCTACTGAATGCAGGAAAAGTTCAGGAAGACTTTGCAGTCCAGCCCCAAGGTCTGAGGCAATGCCAATCTCTGCAGGTCTGGGGCAGTTCTGTACCTGGGGTGGAAGCCGCCTGCCAATAATTGTGCTCCCTCACTTCACAGCACTCTGTCCGCTAAGGGAGCTGTTTAGATCACTCAGGCCTCAGTAGCCAATCAGGGCCTCGAGATGGACTGCCAGTCAGAATGGGGAGGGCACTTCCGTTCCCCAATGCTGCCGGCTGTGGGGACCAAGGCTGAGGTAACCTGTCTTGTTTCATACGCTGGGCTGTGACCGGCTTCTGGGAGCCGGTGAGGTGAGCAGGCGAGCTCCATATCCGCCATGGTGAGTGAGGGGCCGCTATCCCCACGGAGACGAGCCACGGGAGCTTGTGTAGTGTCCTCCCCGGGGCTGTGGAAATGGCGTCCGGTCGCGGTGTCCGGAGTGATTCCCTTTGGTCCCCTGAGGTCCCTGCAACTCCCAGGCACAAGCGGGACCACTGAGGATTTAGCTCTGAGGTATGCGCCTGCGCAGAGCATGGGGGCGTGTGAGCTTTTGTGTGGAAACATCCTAGACACCATGCAGTACACGCGCATGCGGTGTTTTTACTGTAGCTAGGGAATGCAGATTTGGTAACTTGCAGAGCCCTGGTCACTCTTGTGCCTTCTAGAAGTTCTGTACTTGGCACTGAACATTCAGGTGTAGACCGTGTGCAGTTAATTCTGTGCAGGACCTAAAGTCTGTGTCATTAACACATTTGCATGTGGATGCCTTACTGAATATGTGAATATGGCAGTAAGGCCACCCTTCCTGGGTTTCCTGGCCTCCTGTCACATTTGACGCTGTATTTATTGTGTTTTTATTTCTAAGTTTCCTCTCTTGTTCTCTTAATCACTTTATTCTTTCCTGGACAGTACAGTCTCCCCCCCCGCCCCCCCCCCCCCCCCCCATAGGTTTTCTCTGTGTAGCCCTGGCTGTGCTGGAACTCACTCTGGACCTGGCTGGCCTCAAACTCTCAAGTGCTGGGTTTAAAGGTGTGTGCCTTCACCACCACCCAGTTCAGTGCAGTCTTTATTACAGTTTCATTCAAAGTTAGAAGTCAGATGGTTACTGTGTGTACTATTTATTCAGTCATGTGTTGATCATTTTTTCATTCATGATGACCTTTTCTCACGCAATTTCTGTTGCTTATAATTTATAGCATAAATTGTTAGACTTTTCATTGGACTTTTGCCGGATCTATGGCTCAATCTGTATTGTCATGATATAATATTGACATAATAGGCAAGATGACAAGAAAGCAACCACTTGGCTGCTTTCTACTCAAGGTTAGTCCTGCCCCCTGCTAAGGAAGCCCATCTTCCATCAGGCACAGTTCCAGTGGAATCCCCACCTCTCCATGGTTAAATGTGCACTGTTACATCCTTTCCTTAAAAAGACTCTTTATTTAGGTTTGCATGTATGTAGGAGGAGATGGTCCCTTGTCCTAGGCAGGTAGGCTCCATGCAGCTAGGGAACAGAGGAAAGAATTCCATGACCCCAGCCAGAGACAGTTGAGTCCATGGACGAGTTTCCCCAACTGACTGTAAACAGTTGAAGCCGATTGTTGTCATCCAGGTCTTTCACTCTCTCCTCAGTCCCCAACACAAGATGTTGCTTGGCCCCATTTTCTCCCAATTGAGTCTGGTCTGGGCTGTGATCAGACAGATTTGTGACTCTCCATGTTTGCTGGACTGAAGACTTTGGGGTTTAATTTGTTAAAATAGTTAAATCAGTGGTGTTGGTGCATGCTTTTAAACCCAGTACTTGGGAAGCAGAGGCCAGCCTGGTCCATAAAGTGAGTTCCAGGGCAGCCAGGGCTACACAGAGAAACCCTGTCTTTAAAAAAAAAAAAAAAAGGTAAATAAAATTTAAAACTTTTGTAGCCTTGTGTGGCATAACAACCGAGTTAGAAATGCAGCTTCCGATGGCCTCATCTACAGCAGTCACACTTCAGCACACCAAGAGACTGACTGCCTTCATTGTTTCCACCAGACGTGATCCATTGTTTCCCAGATTTACTAAGGAACTGGGTAGGGAGGAAAACAAGGAATAATGCCATGCACTCAGGGAAAAGATAGGGACTTAAACCTGAGTTTGGAGGCCTTGAATTGTTTAATCTCTTCTTAGATGGGGCAGGGAAGGTTATATTAAGGAAGCCTGTAACCCAGCCAGGGGAGTTGGCTCCTCCTATTTGGATGGAATATTTTTTCCATTGTTTCTCTGTCTGTCTTTTTCTCTGTCGTCCCATCTTCCTCTCTCTGTTTTCCTTAATATCATTCACTCTTTTCCATTAGAGCTCTTTCTTCTAAGGTTGTATTTCTTCCATGGTTTATATTTGCTCACAACCTTAGGCTCGTATCTTTGAATGGTTGGCCCCAATTAGGGAGAAGTAATTATGTAAAATAAGGAGGCATGCCCTTGTGGGAGTAGGTGTGTCTTGTTTGTATTGGTGTGTCAATGTGGGCTGACTTTGAGGTTTCTAAAGCCCAGTGCAAGGCACGTGTTCCTTTCTGCCTCTGTGTTAGGATGTAACACTCAGCTCCTTCCCTGCCACTGTGATTCTTCTTTTCAAGATGAGAATAGACTGACCCTCTGTCACTGTAATTAATCCCCAAATTAAAAGCCTTCCATTATAAGAATTGCCTTGGTCATAATGCTTCACAGCAAGAGAAGAATCAGTAAGGCAGGTTGTGTAATATTTTGTTTTATTATCTCTCTCTCTGTTCTGTACATGTCCTGGGAAATCAAATACGGATAAATGAAAGAGTAATGGACTGATCTTATTTGGGGGGTGGGTGTTGGTTTTGAAAAACAGTGATTTTTTTTAAAGATTAGTTATTTATTTTATGTATTTTATATATATATGAGTGCTCTATCTGCATATATACCTTTATTTTGGACAAGGGCATCATATCCCACTACAGATGATTTTGAGTCACCATGTGGTTGCCGGGAATGGAACTCAGGATCTCTGGAAGAGCTGCCAATCCTCTTAACTGCTGATCAATCTCTCCAGCCCCATGGAGTGATTCCTTTGGAAAGCATTCAGTCTGTGGAACAGTTATGACTAGAAAATCTTTCATTTCTTTCTTTATTATCTATCCTGACCCATTATTCATTACTAGAAATGTATTGAGGTTCCACAAGTTTGTAAGCTTTCTGATGCTTCTGCTGTTGTTGACGTCCTGCTTTAATCTGTGGTGGTCTGATAGGATGCAGGGAGTTATTTCAACTTTCTTGTATCTCTTGAGACTTACTTTGTGTCTGAGTGTGTGGTCAGTTTTGGACGTGAGGTGCTTGTTGTGAGAGAATACTGCTTGTGTTGGGGAATATTATTTTAAGGTGTGTTGCTTTTGTTTCTGTTGTGTTTTCTTTAACTCTGTGAAGCTGTGTTGCTGTGCCTATCTAAAACACCTGATGAGCTAATAAAGAACTGGCCAATAGCAAGGCAGGAGAAAGGATAGGCAGGGCTGGCAGGCATAGAAAATATATAGGAGAAATCTTGAAGAAGAGAAGTATCCAGAGAAGGCGGAGGACTCCAGGAGTCAGACACCCCATTATACAGCAGCCACAGAGTAAGAAAGAAAGGTATACAGAAATAGAGAAAGGTGAAAGCCCAGAGGCAAAAGACAGACAGGCTAATCTAAGTTAAGAAAAGCTGGCAAGAAAAAAGCCAAGCCAAGACCAACCATTTATAATTAAGAGTAAACCTCTGTGTGTGATTTATTTGGGAGCTGGATGGTGGGCCCCCTAAAGAGCAAAAACAAACAACAGCTTGGACATGGGTTTAAACCAATAGAAAGTCTTTATTTTCTGCCTGAAAGTACACTGGATATTCTGGATCCCAGTGTAGCCCTGATCCTTTTTCACAATAAGCTTTTAAGCACAAAAATCATGTTCTGGGTTGACATACTTCAGTTAACAGGAACATTTAGCCAGAAGCAGAACTACAGTCCAAAAAGCAAGGTTAGCACATTTAGAGAGTTCCTATAAATATGTACTTTGATGGATTAGGCATTTGTTTTCTTTTAGCTAGTGGTACTTTCTACATGCTGAGTTTTGCAGCCTGAATGGCACTTCCATCTTGGAGTCAGTTGTGCCAAGGTCTGGGGGCCTACTAAGGACTTGAGCCTGTTACATTCCCCCTGGACTTAATGAATGAGTCACATCATGGACTCATGTTGTTTTAGTTAAGATGCAGGGCCCCACCATTAATCCAATCAGAATGAGAATTAAAGGCCCAGTCAGTACCAATAGCACAGTAGTTAGTCAATGGGACAAGGAGAACATAGACTGGTATCAATTATTTCCCCAACCATGACAGTAGTTTTTTTTATAAATTACTTTGATCAATTATCATAGGAACAACAAGTTTTTTCCAGAGTCTTACATAGTTTTCTTTATCTCATGAGAAGAAAGCCTAAATCTTTTCAGTTTTGTAGGATCATTTTTGTAAGGGAATCTAACTGTTGTTTTAATTCAGAAATGGAATGTTTTATTACCATCAGGTGCTGATCAACCTGTCTGCCTAGTTTGGAAAGCATCAGACGAGGCACATTTAGTTAAACCATTGGTACATGCCCACCAAATAGTCTCAGGGCCTTGGAAATACTGTTATCCCCATGAATTAGCCCATAAAGCAGAACATTAATTTGGGCTGACCCCTAGTCATAGCAAGTTCTGTCAGTCAATGGGCTGACAGTCTGGTTAACTCCTATCCCTATGTAGTATGACAGGGGCCAGGTGTTTAAGCATAACCAGCAATCCTGGCCTATTTCTGGCTGGGAATGATTGAGTCCATCCTCAGTGTTCCTTCCTGTAGCATAGGTCTGATTCTGCAAGGATTTCCGTTTCCCATAGGTCAGAATCTTTTTAATGATGTTTTCCAGGAAGCCTGTTTCACAAACCGTTTTCACAATTGATTCTCTGTTTCTGACAACCAGGGGGTCCAACCACAGGGTATGCAGAGAATTGTAAACTCTGTATTTCTATATCAAAAGATAAACCACCATATCTTTCCTTTCTCAAATACAACCAGACATTTAACATTGTCATCAGTAAGCAGAGGTCACAATGAATACGGGTTGCTGGTCTGAGTTACCTTCCTTCTATCTGTCCTTAGTTCCCTAGTCCAGGCCTAAGGTCAGTGGGGGTTGCAGCATTTATCCTGTATTCATAACCAATGTAAGACTCAGGAGGAGGAAGTAGAGGGATGGGGAGTAGAACAGCTTTGGGATCAATGAAACCTAATTTTAATGGGTCCATAGTCCCGAGACAGTCCATGTGGCAGCATCTGTGGCTTC